CTGCCATTGCTAACTGCTGTGTCAGTGGTTGGTTCCGTGACAGCAGCCGATAGGCCATAATTTGCACTCGAAGTTGCTGCAGCTGGCTTGAACTGAAGGTATGTTTCAGTTGTGGGTCATTTGGGCCGCCAAATCCCTGAAACACAGCGTGTCTCTATACAGTTGAGGACAATCAACTGATCAACTGCAAATGTATTCTTTCTTTGTTGGATAATAATGTCATGTTTTACATTCAAGACAAAATGTACAATCTCAAAATTATGAAGAGACAGATGTGAAAGGGATCAGAAAGGAATATGGAAGGAGATAGATGTATGAAAGAGGTAAATGAAAGGAACAAAGACGGCAAAGGATAAAGATATGAAAAAGTCATTAATACATGTTGGAAATACACAGCATCAATCAACTGTGGGTATCCTAGCAATTCATTGTAACTTCCATTATAATGCTTTTTCAGGCACATTTGCAACCCTCCGTAGGAGCTGTTGAAACCTGTCTGCCTACATGTACACATGGGAAGGTTTATGAATGAAAAAAATCAACTCTGATTAAACTTGACATTGGAGAATTTTATGAAAAACTGTCAACCCACTTCAAATTAATTTAAAAAAGCTGTAAAAGCTTAAACATATTTCTGTCTTCAAAGTTATATTCTTCCATAAGAAGGAATAATCATACAATGGAAGCTTATGGGCTCTAACCTGTAAACATTTAATAAAACATTGATAAACAACTGTCCACTCTTCAAGATGACTAACAATGTCTGCATGTCTTATTCTGGGCATCTCAGTGTTGTTGCTGTCCAGGTCTGAGACTAGCTCAAACAGAAGGCCCAACATTTTGTCTTTCTATCTTTTCACCCTCTTATCTGAAGACAGAAGCAGAATCCAGCTTCCAAAATGTTGTAGTTCGATAATTTTATAATTTAGATGGACAAAGAAGAAGAATAACAAAAATAAATCTTCAAACTTATACTGCATTTTGACTGAAAGTCTATTTAAAACGAGTAAGCACTTTTATATAATGGTGTTCAGTTTCATACAGATCACAGTGCAAAGTAAAGCTGCCTGCACTCATTAAAGCCTTTATACAGATTTCATATAATTGAAAAACCAACTGAAAAACGAGCGTCAATATGTTTAAACAGTAAATGTGAAGTTGCCCCTGTACTTAAACACCACAACATAACATAAAGACATAAGAGCAAGTGGAGGTACAGTTCCAAGCATTATTAACCTCAATTGCGGGTTTCTACATTTCAAAGAAATGTTGGTAACCACCTACAAGACTACGTTGCATCACAACAGACACCTTCACCACCATAAGAATTTCAAATCTCATTATTAACCTTGGCACTAGAGTCAGCTTCAAGATCTGGCTGCTTTACTCTTTGAGAAGGAGACCCTGGTACCCACTGGTTAGAATTCGGCAGACCCCAGATCTGGTCTGGACACTGCGACAAACAGAAAAATCCCTGCTGGGAATATAACCCTGGTAATCTAGCTGCAAGTCACTTAACTAACAGAACTACTGCATTTAATAAGGTTAATGTTTTCAAATTTTCTGTTTTTCACATTATGTATATACTCAATATACAACTGCTTTTAGAATTCTTAATGGGGTGCAATAATAATGTGTGTGTAAATACATCAATAGTGATGGGTAAATGCTAATAAAAATATAATAATGAGAAATAGTTTGCCACGTCATGGTTTATAATCTGTGAAACTGGTCAGATATGTAGCATACATGGAGAAAATGAGAAATGCATACAAAATATGACTTGGAAGAAAAAGGGAAGAGATCACATGGAGATGAAGTAGATGGGTCTAAAAGAAATAGGTTATGGAATAGATTTAACTGTCTCAAAATATGGTTCAATGGTGGGCTCTTGTGAACACTGTGATAAACCTTTAGGTTACATAAAAAGTGATGAATTTCTTGACGATCTAAAAAAAACTATCACCTTCTCAAGAATGATAATGCACCAATGAGTTACTGAATCCATTATGATTATCTGATAGTATATATACAGTATAACTAATTCATTATGAATATATAACAATTGAGTTTGAAGCTTCCACAATCACAATGATGGTTTATGTAGAAATATTTGAAAGGTTAAATACATACAGTACTAAAATATTCATTGTGTTACAATGTGTGCATGTGATGACAAAAATATGACTAAACAAATACTTTAGAAATTCTTGAACTATCGATACATACAAACATTTTACAGCAAAGCAAGTGATGTGAAAATAGTTATAACAAAATATTTTACTGAAGATAATAATACTTGTATGAGTAATGAATGTCAAAAACCATTCACAGCTTCATTCTTCATTGACTTCCCAACCTGATGTTTATGTCTAATCAGTTTTATGAGAACCAATTTTGTAATCTTGTCATCAGAAAACCTTAGTTTAAAGAAGTGAGTGACAGCTAGTACCTTAAAAAATATCCACATGTTTTCACACTTTAAAGATTTCTAGAGGCAAGATTAACGTAAAGATGATATTCTAACTTGCTGTTCCCTTACTTCACATGAGATGCTCAAAAGTGAAGCATATGGAAAAGAAATGAAGTAAGAAACCTACACTGTTTTACTCCAATTTATTAAAACAAAACAAGTTTTGGATGCCACAGTTCTTTACATTACTACAAACAATATACTTTCAATCCAATTTGGAATATATCAGACCAAATTACAGAATTGAAACTATATAGGCCCAGGCACACAAACACACCTGCACTGAACGTGGGGGTTCCATTGTTCCTTGGCGAGCTCTGAGCGCCAGGAGCTGAGAGTAACGAGGGTCTTCCTGGAGTCCTTTCTCTTCCATTGAATCAATAGCTCTCTGAAGAGCATTCAGGTTATCCTGTGGCCCTCCCTTCAAGGAGAAAATATTACATTTAAATTTCTTCATAAATATATCAAAATAACTGAATTTTGATGCATGAATTTACGTGAAATGCACGGGAAGTTGTATCGCCTGAATACAAGGTTATTCAACTTTAAGACAGGCCAAAATTTCTGCCACTATAACTTAAATAGATAAATATAAAAGGGAAAATAACGTGACACCAAAACAATATTACATTAGGTTTCCTGAAGAATAAACAAAACTCAAAAACTTTTCTACCCTAATATGTATGTTGTAATAATTGAAACTTGCATGATCTGAACAGCAGACATAAATGAGCTGCACAAGTGTCCCAAAACAGACTGCTAGTCCACAAGACTGATATGAAAAAGAAAATTCCCCTATGGTACATGCTGCAGACTGATAAAAGAAAAATAATTCATAATCAGCACAAATAATTAACAAATCATAACAGAACACAAAGTTACCATATTCTGAAAACAAAGTTATCATATTATGCTTAACTTCTGAAGCCTTCAAAAATTTTAAACAAATGTTTGTGTTTTGCCAACAGGAAATGATGTTATTTAAAGGCCCATAATGTAATATTTAATAAGCACGTGTTTGAACGAAACATATATAAATACATAAATGCAGAAAATTCATAAAACCATGCTTTTGAAGTTACGAAAGCAACGATATAATTAAAATACAAGACTCTGGACAGTCTAAATGAAGTGTTAATAATTTTCCCACAATGAGTAAGAAACTCAGCATCTGATAAAGGAGTGCAAATAAAATTTAAAAAAAAAAAAACTGTGTTACAAACCCACGTCATTTTTCATTTTAACAACTATCAGTTCATAGTCTCTTACAATTTCAGTCAACATTATAACATCAAAAGAAGAAAAAACTCACGGTAAAAATGCACAGTTTCTTATATCCACATTCAGACACCTTGAATCAAATGTATCCATCATATGAAACTGACTAAAGCACATTAAAATCCACCTCGTACTTTTGTACATGAAATGTGACACATGTACCAATATTACGTGTATCTGAACAATTATCCTACAAGTTGCTATGCCGGCACTTTTCTTTATGGGTCATCTGAAATTCAAGATGAGTTCATATTTTCTATTTCAACACACATATTTATCCTCCCTCTAGAAGTATGATGATGACGAATGGATTATAGAAGCATTTTCGGGTATTTCTGTTGTGATCCAGTCTACTGTCCATCCCTAGGTGATACTTATGTGAATACTGTGCATCAGTGGAATGATGCATCAGTTTCTATGACTATTTGCGTCTATGTATATTTTGATGCTGTCAAAAAAAGTGTGGTTGACCTGCATGCATGTGCACGAAGCATTATACCAAACTATGATTAAATGTAACTAACCATCAGGGAAAGAAAGCAAGAATAGACACACAGAAGGCTGTATAGAGAGGCCTTGACAATGGGCTTCAGAATAAAAGAACACTGTTACCAAAACACTAAAAACTAAAACTCTACTCAAATGCAAAAACCCTATCCATTAGAGTGATGTGGAACGCCTTACTGCGGCCATAAATGACAAAATATTACAGACTCTAAACTCATCATCGCCAACCGTAGTGTTAAGTAGAGTTATTCTAAACAAATTCGACAGGTATTGGTTTTGAGACGCACTGCCCGTATCAGATTTTTGCGACACGGGATTGAAAGGTGACTAATATCAGCATGCAAGTGTTGCGTGATCTTCACAGCACTGCTTATGACAGCTTCAAGGAAAACATAAATCAGGTAAATTGATCACCCATCTCTCACGCTCCTTCGGACAGTTAGTCACGTGATTTGCTCTGAATAGATTATAGAATAAAATCAGCGAACAATCCACAATACATTTAATATAATCACATGAATGAAAGTACCAACAATCTTTAACTACTTAACAATCGGAAATTTCATAGGTCACACGTGAACAGATTACAAACTGGAAGCTGGGACTTTATTCTTAATCTAACGCTACTAATCTAATATGAGATACTGAAAAAAAATCGCTGGTTTAGAAACGAAGATTGCCGACTGGAGATTAAAATCCAAGGAACCAAACGTCCAGAGAATCAGTGTACCACAATATTCGCTGTGTATTTTGACTGCCTGCCATTCACACGATTCGGTGTGTTAACAATTACATGTCATTTAAATATTTTAATTCATAGATGAAAGGGGCCTTCAAATGAGCTATGATGAACATTTCGCTAACTACCCCGAAACTATTCGTGGATGTTTCACACACAGTTGTCAGGATCGCCCTTCAGATTAAGAGGAGAACAGACTGGAGGTGTTTGAGAACGTGGTGCTTAGGAAAATATTTGGACCTAAGACGAATGAACTGACAGGAGGCATAATCTGCACAATGAGGTGTTTCATATTTTCAAACATTCACCAAATATTAGAATGGTCAAATCAAAAATATATGTGCAGGGCATGTAGCGCGCATGGAGAAATAAGAAATGCGCACACAATTTTGGGAGTATAATATTAAAACCGACAAAAAAAGAAAATAAGGAGGGAGGGTGCAGCCAGGATTCACATGGTTCAAGATATGGCCAAAAGCGGGATCTTGTAAACACGGTAATGAGCCTTCGAGTACCATAAAAGATGAGTTTCTTCACTATCAGCTTCAAAAATGGTATGCGGATATTATTAAGTTACGCCAAATTGCCAGTTAAAATTTCTACTTAAAAAATGAAGGGTCATGCAAGATGTTTGTACATATATATTATATCTTGATTTTCTCAATCCGTAATTAAACTGAGGTTTACACAACGTCCTTGTGTGTGTCTGCCCCACATGAACAGCTTCTGAGCCAAAACGCGTGTTTTCAAAGCGTTCAGTATTACAATGACTTTCATTCCCTAATAATAATAATGCATATTTGGTAGCCGTGCCAACTTCTACAGCAGAAGAAACAACAGCGCTACAAAAAGTAAGGTTCTGAAACGTTGCGACATTGCACAATTTTGTCTCCGGATGAAATAAAAATAACGTGTCAAGATTGCCGGTGGAGTTGCTTTGTTAACATCGAAACTTTCCAAAACGTTGTTTGTGAGTGTTGACCTCAGTGTTCACACAGTGTTCACATGTTACACTGATCAGTAAATATTCCACTGCACCCCCTTGGGTGGAAGAGGGGTTGCCCAAACAGAAATCGCGGCCGCATTCGACACAAACCATAACACAAGAGGTGGCACGGACGTATGTCCATGTCTATTCGGCTTCCTCACCACCGAAACGATATAACATATCAATCGTCATGTTCACTCACTTACTTACTTGAAATTACTAACACATAAGTATCAGATTTTCTTATAACACACTACGCGACAAAGCAATTTTACAGAAACATGCAATAGCAATAACACGTAACAACTCTTGCAATCCCCAGCAGATATGAATCAAAACTATGAAGCAGCCATATTTCAAAAACAGACAAGATTTTGTGTAATATTTAAATTTACAATGCACCTTACTGCACCAACTGTAATTCCTTACTTATCGCCCTGACGACGGAAACAGTAAGCTCCTCTGAAACGTCGGTAAAACTTCTACCAGACTACAAGGCGTAACATTCATAATCTACTAAGTACTCCAGCAGTCAAACAGTAAAACGAAGATAATTCGAAGAAATAAAAAAATAGAAATAAGATGCCCACAGCTGAAAAAAAAAAGCCATTCCGCCTCTCTCCACATTCATTTCGACACAGACGTTTCTTACACGTTTTCCTTTGCCACCGAGACTAACCTAAAAATCGCATGCGATACAAGTTTATGGACACCTTTACATTTATTTGTTTACCAATTTAAGAATTAATATTTATTATTACCTCTCCATCAGCTTGATCCAAACATTACAGCAACCAAGTACGTCTAATCAAAAATTTCCACCAAGCACTTTGGTTCAGCTTCTTTCCGCAAGAGCTATCATGACAGTGTTTGTGGTGTCTATCGAATAGAATAGTACCCTGAAATGGGACATTTCCGGTCCCTTCTCAATTATCTCAAGTTTAGCAGTGAACGATCATGCAATTCGCCGCTAAATAAAACCTCTGTACTCGATTGACAGCCTAAAAACCAACATACACAATGTGAGAATGTCATGTTCTGAGCTTTGACGCCGTGCAGACTCGCAGGAAGAAACCAATGTTTCGGAGAAACATACTGTCTCAACATCAGTCCTAACGATGGATACAGTACTTTTCTGAATGCGTCAAACCCCAGAAGAACATCATCCATCATTCTAGAAATACCACTACAGACCTGAGCAGGATTCACTGTAGCAGAGACTGTCACCCCTAGTCTGTTACGTTCTGTTTCCATCTCAGTGGAAATATTCACGCTTTGAAGGATAGAGTGAAATTTACTGAACATAAACAGTCCTCCTCCAGATAAACTCATTTGTTTATACAGTGCTAATTAGGTTTCTGGACCATTCGTACCGTAAAATGTGAGGCAGACTGGGTGCCAATCCTAGAAAACACCAGACGAATTTAATTCCCCGCTGGGTTAATAAACAGAACCTACGTAAATAAAACTTGAAAATATGGTTCCTACTATGTACCTTGGTCGGTTAATGTTTGGTGAAACAGCTGCCGTGTATTATAACAGTCAAATTATGCCCATATTCCTGGGTAAAATGCCAACTAAAACGAACATTAAAGCAGTTGGTACATTCAACCACCATCGTCCTATAACGAGTAAAAAATCAACTAATGTCTAACAAACTGGAGGTTAATATACTAACTCTTTTGAGAATACGTGTCAAGACCGTACCAACACTTACGCTTACACTGTACCGGATTTTAGAAATCACAGAAAAAAATTTAAACGAAACTATAAAATACACTTTGTGGAAACACTGACCAACGTAATAGCTTTTGAATAATGTGGTAACTCTCATGGCCAAGAGTATATAAATGCCAGACTTTTGGATGTTGCGCTGTGTAGCTTGGTAGAGGCAGTAACAGCCTCTAAAATGTAGGTCAATATCTACCATATTACATGGCATAACATCCTTGACATAAACCAGAATTCTAGAGACACGTATAAAAGACATGAAACAAGTTATTTCCATTTGGTGCAACACTAGAAAGAAAGAAATATTCGTAACTCACACGGAATGTCCTTAAATTTCAACAGATTCCACGATTGTGAAATCAGGCATGTCAGTTGTTATCACAAAGTTTACTATTCTTAATGGGTTTTTTTACTATTCCGTGGTTAAGGAAATTGACAAGCATTGGGGTAATAAACGACAGAAGTCACTGGTGACCAGATTGGGACCGCCCCTACCGATTACCGCGAGAAAGGGGGAGGGGGGTTACACAGCAGATATGTAGCTGATCGCACGAGCTGGGGAATGCAGTCTTCAGGATCTAGGTTTGCGAGGCACATGGGAGAATGAAGCACGACGTCGACCAATACTTTGAGACAGTCCTGGGTATAACCCGCGACGCTGGAAAGGTGAGACTTCTGTCACTTTACACAATATGCTCGTATTTCCCAGCCGTCCTTGCCTCGCGTTTCAGGTACAGAACCAGTGATACGCCAAGTGAGCTATAGCTTATGTTTTAATATTTAATTTTCTACGCAACCATTAAGGTCAAAGTTCGGCCCGGTACAGAACACCAAATTTGCCCCTCTACCTACTTTACTGTTTATGGTTTGCTGCTCTCTCTTGATACCTTCAATGACATAAATAAACTGCATTTAGAAGCCCAAAACTGCTTGACCTATTTCGATCAAGATCTGTACACCACACATATAATTATTTTCGTTTAGTGTGTATTAAAGGTCCATAAATTTTACAAATATCTTCTTTCATGTTCTGATAAAATGTACAATATGTGTACTACCATCTGTAAGTTTAAAGAGCCACTTTACTAAAGGTCGTAATTCAACTTTAAAATATAAGATAAGTGTCTTTTCATTTACATTTCACTTCAATACATTTTAGGCCCTAAGTTGCTTACATATTGAGATAAATGTTTGGTCATACCTCGCAACAAATTAACATGGGAGAAAAATGTTATTTTATATTTGCAGTTTATTTAACCATGTTTTTTTCAGTAGCTCAGAAGTAGCGTTAAATGAGAAGATAATAGTGAACTGAAAGGATATTGAACGAAGTGGTAGCGGCCTAATTTAAGGTACTATCCCAGCATTTGACTGGAAGGACTGAGGAGAAAAATTCTATGAATTAAGATATACAGTAATCTGTAAGATACATGCACCATGTAAGATTCGAGGTTTGCATAAAGTTGATTTTGAGAAAATAATCCATTTATAATTATTAATTGTTGACAACTGAAAGTTTTGATCAATTTACTGCAATTGCCCTGCTCTATAGGTTATGCCTGCTTGATATAAAACACTGCAAAACAGACACATGTAATCAAAAGACATCTTTTTAATATCACCCCAGTAGTTCATTTGCCTCTTATTCTTATTGAAATTCATGATAAAATGGCCTTATGTTCATAAATTTGGCTCCCTCACCTGCAAAAATCCATACTTAATTGATTTGTTTAACAATAGGCAGCTTCAAGGAGTATAAGTTATTATATTACTGAAAATCATGAGATCTGTGGCTTAAAATACAAAGTTATACTTATGTGCATAGTCTCAGGGGAGAAGAAATTTTCTCATGAGCTTTCGACCAGTGTATGGGACCGGTACCAACCCAGCATCGTGAGGAAAGTGGTGAGCTACAATGGATAGCGTAATCTGGTCATGGAAACTAGCAATGGCTGGGGGTCCGTCGTGCTGACCACACGTCACCCTGTATCTAGTTGGATGATCGTTCATCCGGTACCAACCCAGCATCGTGAGGAAAGTGGTGAGCTACAATGGATAGCGTAATCTGGTCATGGAAACTAGCAATGGCTGGGGGTCCGTCGTGCTGACCACACGTCACCCTGTATCTAGTTGGATGATCGTTCATCTCTGCTGAGGCATGTAAACGTGAGGCCAGCAGTCAAGCTAGTCGGCTTTATTACGCCACGGATTTAATTAATACTTATGTTCATAGCCCTACATTGCATTCAATAACAATAACTTCTGGGAAGGACTCAGGATGTCTTGAAAAGAAGCATTAGTTTGATAAGTAAGACTGCATAATAATTCAAGCCCTAACTATATTATTACATTTTCATCTGCAGATCATAAAGGAAGGAATTGCAAGGACTAAGAATGTTGACACAAAGTTGGGTTCATGGGATCTTGTGACACAGTATGACAGGAGGGTGGAGAATGTTCTTATGAAAGAAATTTCAAAAAAGTTCCCATCACACAAGTAAGTACTGCTTCGTACGATAAAACTTTCAATCGGCACAATAAATTCTCAAATTACTTCTCTTTATATATTAATATAACTGTTGTGCAATTCAACAAACCTCTCAATCAACAACAACCGCCAGGAAAAATAGCAAGTTTGATGTCACACGTTAACCAAATCCCAAGTGACAAAGATACAAACAAAGGTGTGAATTAATAGAACAGTAATTACACAGTAAACAACTGTGGCCAAAAGACCAAATATACATGAGAAATTATATAAATCTGGCACAAGAAATTAAAGGTATTGGTATATCAAGTGGTGATAATTAAGCAAACTACAATATCAACACAAAACAATCAAACATGCCTCTATACAAAATATGGTATTAGAATCTGAGAAAACGCTTCCTGCCATATAAAAATATGTTCTGCTTGAAACAAGCAACACAACAATGGTTTTTAACTCATAAATAAATTTTGTATTCCTTACAAAGTAGAGGATATATGTGCACTGAAATCCAGTGTAAAACTTTGAAAATAAAGACGAATGACAATAATACCACATAAATAAAAAACAGAATCAGACATGCTGAAGATGTAAACAACAGCAAGAAACAACAGATCATGTTACAGCTCGATGATAATCACTAACTGCCAGATAGTACACAAGCCAATAACAGATCCACCATAAGTAAGCACTAAAATACAAACTTCAGAGAGCTACTTGATGGAAATTTTTGTAACAAACAATCAACAACAAAATTACAAAGAAAATGCAAACATACATCTAGCAGAAAAAATAAAACAAATGAGACACCAGAATATAATTTACATAATTCCACCATAATCATTACAATCTCCAAATCAAACAACTCCAGCTACCAAAGAACATATACACAGAACTTAAAAAGTCTGTGAGCACACTCCACTCTTCACAGGCCACAAATTTTTAACCAATGGCATCCCATTACAATGAAGATAGTTGTATTTTACATAGAACAAATTCAACATATTTCATATATAATAACGACATACATTATTGCAAGACATTTGGTAGATAACATGTCTATCAATAAACTCCATTTGTGATCAGGAATAATTGTTATTATAAAGCAGTAGTAAATTTTTGTCTTTAAAAATGGAATCAGCTACTCTACCATTTTGGATTGTGTTAGCATACAGATACCTACAAGGATAATTACAGACTACTTTTAATTCCCGCCCTTACTTTGAGGTCAGTCCCTCTGCTAGATGTGGTTCTACAACTAATGTAATCTGCAGGAATGACATTTTCAAAAGAGATCATATTCTGCTCTTTTATCATACTCCAAACAACTTATCACTACACAGATACTGACTGCGATGCTATAATTCCTAACACAAAGTGATTAATAAACCATAATTCCTAACACAAACATTTTCAGATTCATTGCTGAGGAAACCAACGCTGAACAGAAGGCAACACCAGAACTGACAAATGCACCTACTTGGATCATTGACCCTATAGATGGAACAACAAATTTTGTACATGGTTTCCACCTCACATGCATCTCCATTGCTTTGAGCATAGAGAAGGAGGTAGTAATTGGTATAATATACAACCCAATACTGGATCAGTTGTTCACTGCAATCAAAGGTCAAGGTGCTCACCTCAATAACCAAAGAATAAATGCCTCACAAGTTGAAGGTAGGATGGAGTTACATCCACTGATCATTAATAGATACGTAAGCAATGTACGCTTTTTATAAGATGTAAGACAATGCAGTAATATATGTGTTTAAATGATTTTTCAATGTATTAGCAGTATTATAATATTATGTGATCAATTTATAGTATAGTGTCATAAGTTTCGACATGCAAATCTATAAGTAGCACGTGTACTGGATCATAACATTTTAAAGAACATAGTTTAAGGATCCTATTCTCTCATGGTTATCCTTCCAATTAAGAAAGTAAGCATTGCTAACTCATTGAACTTTACTGTTTCAGAACTGTGCAAATCAATGGTGTGCTTGGAGTCATCATTTGCATGCATCCCAAGTTTGAAGGATAGTATCATGAAAAGGACAGAAGCATGCGTCAAAGTGGCACATGGGTATGAAAATTTCACATTTTTTGACATTCATCTTGCTGCTGTTAATGTTTGCAAACATGACACAATTGGAAGATGGCTGTCCTTGCACGAGCCTCTGAAAGGTTGATAAACTTCTACCAGACTGCATGGCACAAAAGTCCAGAGTACAGCTATCTTCATGAGAGAACCTCAAATCTCACATAATGACAATAGTTTTACACAATCTGAGTTTTGAAATTTTAATTTTTACTGAAAAAAATCAAAATGGTTTCCACTATACCAGCAGGTTTTCTGAGGACTGGTACCTTATCTGTCTCACAATATAGTACAGATAAAGTCTATAAGTCTAATTATTTCTTGCATCTCCATGAGGGCATGTAAAATAATTTGTCTGAATATCATCATAATTGAGTTATCTAGTACTGGGATACTGGGAACGACCCGTTCTTCAAGTGCCTGAGCACTGCGGGTCCAACTTTTTCATTGGTTTTGATCTATAGACATTTGGTAGGACTCCTTGGACGAGGAATCAGCCCATTGCAAGGCCTCTACCTGTACACAGGACAGCACAACACAGAAAAACGCAAACATCCATAGCTTGAGTGGGATTCAAACCCACGGTCCCAGTGACCAAGCGGCAGAAGGCCCACACTTCAGACCGTGCGGCCACTACGGACCTGAGTTATCTAGTGACACTGAAAAAATGTAGTTAACATTCAATACAAAATTTTCAGATACTGAAAATAATAATAAAATCACTAGTTGCAAAAGAGTAACAATTATGACCAGAATTTGGATGGGTACTAATTAAGCTGCAGCGTGATAATAAACAGTGCACTACTGAATGTTGTGATGGATGTATGTTTCACAGCATTCGTGTCCTGGGATCAGCAGCCCTTGCCTTGTGTTATGTTGCAATGGGAGTGGCTGAAGCATACCACATAGATGGACTTCAATGTTGGGATGTAGCAGCTGGAGCTTTAATTGTCAGAGAAGCTGGAGGCATTGTCCTGGATTCAACAGGTATTTTCAAATGCATCTAATTTCCTTTTATAAGTGCAATGACAATTTAAATATGTGGGAACAAACAGTAACAAATAAAAGTAAAGTTCATGACAAAACATGTTAAAGTCCAAAGTACATAAAAATAATTTTGCATGTTTCATACAAATGTCAAACATGATGTCTTTGACAGAAGAACATAAAATGTGGGTTCATACTGCAACAAACTTCATAGCATACCATCAGCTGATCAATTGCCTAATCTTTGATACTTCCTACTGCCAACATGTTCATAAGCCTATAAATCTGACATAATAAATGTGCTAGGAACAAAATGCCATGAACAGCATGTTTTCAACTACATCCCCCAAAACAACAGAAAATAAAGTGTCAGATCATGTACCTGGCATCTCAAAATCCAGGAAAACCTAAAATCTGTATTTTTCCTGTCTTCAGGCAAGGTGTAATCACCTACAATTAGAAGATACAAGTTAAGAGTTTCTTTGGGAGTGTAAAATGATATTAAACTGGCAAGCATGAGAAAACAAGAATTTTTTTATATAATTAAGAAGATAAAGCATACCTCAACTCTAATTTTATTATTTATTTTGTCTATATTAAAAATCCTCTGCATAATGATCCAAAGCCAGGAAAAAAAACTCAGTTCCCAGGCTTTGAAGGGATCCAGTACTGCATGAAATATTAATTACAAATAAAATTAAGAAAAATATGTTCTTCTGTGTTAGGTGGGACATTTGACATGATGTCACACAGGATCCTGGCTTGTGGAACGAAGAAGTTAGCTGAGGAACTTGTCATCCTATTTAAGAAAGCTGATGCATCCATCATCAAAATCAATATTAACAATGGTTAGAGTAAGATTATCATCAGTGTTTGTTGTAAAATATTAACTATGTATTTTATTTATAAAATGTAGGATATATTCTTGCTGGTGGTTTGGCACATATTAAAACAATAATCTGTGCATCTTTTTAATATAAGCTACAAACAATAAAAATATTCATATTAACAAAATTTGTGTAATAAATAAAACAATGTTTTAGGTTACCTTAATTTCAACAATTATATGACATATGCAATTATATTTAGAATTTACTAGAAATGAACCATGAATGATAACATGTTGATCTTCCTCACTTCATCCCTGAAGATGAAGGCAGTATGTTTCTCCATAATATTGGTACACAGTCACAATACTACATGGAGAAACAGCTCTGTAAATTACTGTCTATTCTGAAATTACTGTGGAAATGTCAAATCCTACAGACATATATGCGGATAAACACTTTAAGGAATACAGCTTCAATGTTGCCAGCAATGTAAAAGGAATTAATTTAATGGTACAGGGTTGCTGTTGAGACACTGAATTATAAATTATCTACTTAAAATGCCCTACCTGAAGTCCAGGTTGAGGGTGTCCCACACCCATGGTGTGCTGCTGGAATGTTTGTGTTCCTGAAGTCATAGCATGTTGTGGTGGGCCTGATGGTCCATTCATATGCATCACTCCTGGAGGTGGGCCCTGGGTATACCCAGTTGGACTGTGTGGGTGATGATGTGGTGGGCCCATCGGTGATGGTGCTTGAGGTGGTGGTGCCATGCCTGATGGAGATGGCATGGGTGAAGGGGACTGCTGGGGAGGTCCCATTGGGGAAGGAGTCTGGGGAGGGGGCATAGGTGAAGACTGGGGTGAGGGACTTGTCATTCCTCCACGTTCCACTTCCAGTTTCTATTTCGCAGATCTGAAAAATAATCAATCAAACATAATAGTACAAAGAGATTATTTTGCAGCTGTGCTGCAGTATGGTCTTTGTGCCATGCATAATCACTGGGTTGGTTCCCGATTTTCTTACTTGGTGAACGTTAATAGTGAGTGAATGTCAACCTGATGAGTTAGCACCAATGATAAAAGGAAGTGGTCTCCTTGGTGACTTGCACGTGGCTCACTGTTGTCCAAGATTCCCTTTGTGTGGACATACATGAATTTACAATAAAGCGTCCAAATCCTAGGGGTTCAAAGTTCAGTTGGGAGCATCCATACGGGGCATTACCTGGGACTGTCTTCAGGAGGTGTAATCCCCTGAAGTAGCCCAGATCCTTGGGTGGCCAAGCACCTCAAGGGCACTCCTGCTGTTCACAGGGCCCAAGTGATATAACCAGAGGTAGTAGAAGCCCAGGGCTTTCCAAACCAATGTGGACAAGGTCCAGGGCAGCACAGCCACAGTGGACCTCATGGGCTAAGCCTCTGAGCAAGGCAAGCCAAAGGCTTGGAGAAAGAGCCCCATTCGAGCAAAATTTTGAGGAGGAAAGCCTGGGGTGCAACCCTGTGGCCCACCTTACACCATGGGAAAGCCCTGAGGGTTGACAAATTGGAAGAAATTAGAAAGTATATATTAGGAAATGGTCATGACTTAATTTAAGGTACTATCCAGACACAGGAAAACCACGAATAACTTCACTCAAGACAGCAAGTTCCTGGGACTGGGTTTGAACTTGGTACGTACCAAATACGAAAGTGGAGCATTAACCATTTGGCCACGATATTCTGTGGCTACTGTGCAAGATTGTAATACCACAATAATGGAGTCGTGTACCTATTTTAAATATCACAGACACAAATAACATTTGAGACTACTCTTTGTCATATTAAAATGGCAACTCAAGACCAGTGCTTAATGATCTCCCTTTGTTGTTGGGTTGAGATGAATTACTAACTGTTTGCTAATTGGACAAAGGAAGCAGAGAAATCAATCTGTACACTTATTTGATTCATTAATACTTCTTGTGTGTGTTTTAACCTATTTTTAACCAAATGCATCCCTATATTTCATACAAATAGTGTAAACCGGTAACTAGCTGCCTGAAAATGGCTACAAATTCTAAACCTATATGGGACACATCTCTCCCTTTACCTTCAATTAAAATGAATTCCAAGGAACAACTCGTTCATCTTCTCTCTAACAATATTTAGCGGTTTGAAGACTGTGCACCCAACAACGCTATATAATTTGAGTTCCACAACACGAAATTACAAAACACAAATCAATCACTTATACAAAATTCTCGTACCTTTCTGACAGAAGTTGATGCTCAATTATTGCCAATACTGCAAATACAAAATTCCTACCAAATGGTGACTTTAGTAATGCTTATCTGTTCTCGTGATTCTCTGCATACACTATATTATATTGACATAATTGGCATTAGAACGTTATCCCACTTTCTTTAACGCTTATATTTGTGATTATCGCTAACAGAGTCTGTAGATTTCATTTGGTTCTCAGTATAAAGGGAATGCGCCTATTTGCTTTACCCAGTCTGTTCGTATGTCTCTTTCTACAAGTAACATGAGAACTACAGAACGGATTTGCATGGAATTTTATATTGTAAAGTTTTCCTAAAGTGTATTAATAACTCCATTTTCGGTTAAAACTTGACAATAACTGCAGTTTACATTAGGACCGGCTTGCGTTTCTGGGCACAAAAGCGTGCAATATAGTTGCCACAGATAATACCAACATAGTTATTGAGATTATCTGGGGAATTCGAAGCCAGCAGCTCAACCACGTGTGGAACCCTTCCGTGATGACGTTATCACTTGGACATTCCGCACCACACTTAGGTCATTGGCCCAGGATGATCTGGGGTTATTCTCTACGGTCAAATTCTCAAACGCACAAAAACTATGCCATGCATACATTTTCTAACTTCTTAATTACAATTAGCTTTGTAAGCATCACAGACTTACACCATTAATGCTAATTGGTGATCAGACCTGACCCATCTGATTAGATCATGAACATATATACAGATATACTACACCACCCCAACAACAGTAATTCCTCACAGTATGACACAGTAGTTTAGACCTAATCCCCTCCTCACTAGAGATGGCCATCCCACACTGGGCCCAGACAATGCAACTGCATAGGTGACACCAAATAACAAACAGAAAAAAACAAGAATGATCTGCCCCCTCTTGTGGTGCTTCATGCATATCACAAAGTAAACATGAACGGTTTTATTTTCATTGTAGAAATTTAATCTTTAAAATAATATAATTTAGATAAGTTTCAGGTTCAGAGTTAATCCCTTATTGTGATCATAACAGGAGTTAATTGTATTTTATGGCTCTCATGTTAGTGGAGTTTCACTGTATTTTGAGATACTGTTGACATATCTTACAATCCTCAATGAACCCTTCTACCAACTAGGTTCTTCCATGGATGATTTGAGGTTTTCACAATAGTGACCTATTTAAGAAAGCTGATGCATCCATCATCAAAATCAATATTAACAATGGTTAGAGTAAGATTATCATCAGTGTTTGTTGTAAAATATTAACTATGTATTTTATTTATAAAATGTAGGATATATTCTTGCTGGTGGTTTGGCACATATTAAAACAATAATCTGTGCATCTTTTTAATATAAGCTACAAACAATAAAAATATTCATATTAACAAAATTTGTGTAATAAATAAAACAATGTTTTAGGTTACCTTAATTTCAACAATTATATGACATATGCAATTATATTTAGAATTTACTAGAAATGAACCATGAATGATAACATGTTGATCTTCCTCACTTCATCCCTGAAGATGAAGGCAGTATGTTTCTCCATAATATTGGTACACAGTCACAATACTACATGGAGAAACAGCTCTGTAAATTACTGTCTATTCTGAAATTACTGTGGAAATGTCAAATCCTACAGACATATATGCGGATAAACACTTTAAGGAATACAGCTTCAATGTTGCCAGCAATGTAAAAGGAATTAATTTAATGGTACAGGGTTGCTGTTGAGACACTGAATTATAAATTATCTACTTAAAATGCCCTACCTGAAGTCCAGGTTGAGGGTGTCCCACACCCATGGTGTGCTGCTGGAATGTTTGTGTTCCTGAAGTCATAGCATGTTGTGGTGGGCCTGATGGTCCATTCATATGCATCACTCCTGGAGGTGGGCCCTGGGTATACCCAGTTGGACTGTGTGGGTGATGATGTGGTGGGCCCATCGGTGATGGTGCTTGAGGTGGTGGTGCCATGCCTGATGGAGATGGCATGGGTGAAGGGGACTGCTGGGGAGGTCCCATTGGGGAAGGAGTCTGGGGAGGGGGCATAGGTGAAGACTGGGGTGAGGGACTTGTCATTCCTCCACGTTCCACTTCCAGTTTCTATTTCGCAGATCTGAAAAATAATCAATCAAACATAATAGTACAAAGAGATTATTTTGCAGCTGTGCTGCAGTATGGTCTTTGTGCCATGCATAATCACTGGGTTGGTTCCCGATTTTCTTACTTGGTGAACGTTAATAGTGAGTGAATGTCAACCTGATGAGTTAGCACCAATGATAAAAGGAAGTGGTCTCCTTGGTGACTTGCACGTGGCTCACTGTTGTCCAAGATTCCCTTTGTGTGGACATACATGAATTTACAATAAAGCGTCCAAATCCTAGGGGTTCAAAGTTCAGTTGGGAGCATCCATACGGGGCATTACCTGGGACTGTCTTCAGGAGGTGTAATCCCCTGAAGTAGCCCAGATCCTTGGGTGGCCAAGCACCTCAAGGGCACTCCTGCTGTTCACAGGGCCCAAGTGATATAACCAGAGGTAGTAGAAGCCCAGGGCTTTCCAAACCAATGTGGACAAGGTCCAGGGCAGCACAGCCACAGTGGACCTCATGGGCTAAGCCTCTGAGCAAGGCAAGCCAAAGGCTTGGAGAAAGAGCCCCATTCGAGCAAAATTTTGAGGAGGAAAGCCTGGGGTGCAACCCTGTGGCCCACCTTACACCATGGGAAAGCCCTGAGGGTTGACAAATTGGAAGAAATTAGAAAGTATATATTAGGAAATGGTCATGACTTAATTTAAGGTACTATCCAGACACAGGAAAACCACGAATAACTTCACTCAAGACAGCAAGTTCCTGGGACTGGGTTTGAACTTGGTACGTACCAAATACGAAAGTGGAGCATTAACCATTTGGCCACGATATTCTGTGGCTACTGTGCAAGATTGTAATACCACAATAATGGAGTCGTGTACCTATTTTAAATATCACAGACACAAATAACATTTGAGACTACTCTTTGTCATATTAAAATGGCAACTCAAGACCAGTGCTTAATGATCTCCCTTTGTTGTTGGGTTGAGATGAATTACTAACTGTTTGCTAATTGGACAAAGGAAGCAGAGAAATCAATCTGTACACTTATTTGATTCATTAATACTTCTTGTGTGTGTTTTAACCTATTTTTAACCAAATGCATCCCTATATTTCATACAAATAGTGTAAACCGGTAACTAGCTGCCTGAAAATGGCTACAAATTCTAAACCTATATGGGACACATCTCTCCCTTTACCTTCAATTAAAATGAATTCCAAGGAACAACTCGTTCATCTTCTCTCTAACAATATTTAGCGGTTTGAAGACTGTGCACCCAACAACGCTATATAATTTGAGTTCCACAACACGAAATTACAAAACACAAATCAATCACTTATACAAAATTCTCGTACCTTTCTGACAGAAGTTGATGCTCAATTATTGCCAATACTGCAAATACAAAATTCCTACCAAATGGTGACTTTAGTAATGCTTATCTGTTCTCGTGATTCTCTGCATACACTATATTATATTGACATAATTGGCATTAGAACGTTATCCCACTTTCTTTAACGCTTATATTTGTGATTATCGCTAACAGAGTCTGTAGATTTCATTTGGTTCTCAGTATAAAGGGAATGCGCCTATTTGCTTTACCCAGTCTGTTCGTATGTCTCTTTCTACAAGTAACATGAGAACTACAGAACGGATTTGCATGGAATTTTATATTGTAAAGTTTTCCTAAAGTGTATTAATAACTCCATTTTCGGTTAAAACTTGACAATAACTGCAGTTTACATTAGGACCGGCTTGCGTTTCTGGGCACAAAAGCGTGCAATATAGTTGCCACAGATAATACCAACATAGTTATTGAGATTATCTGGGGAATTCGAAGCCAGCAGCTCAACCACGTGTGGAACCCTTCCGTGATGACGTTATCACTTGGACATTCCGCACCACACTTAGGTCATTGGCCCAGGATGATCTGGGGTTATTCTCTACGGTCAAATTCTCAAACGCACAAAAACTATGCCATGCATACATTTTCTAACTTCTTAATTACAATTAGCTTTGTAAGCATCACAGACTTACACCATTAATGCTAATTGGTGATCAGACCTGACCCATCTGATTAGATCATGAACATATATACAGATATACTACACCACCCCAACAACAGTAATTCCTCACAGTATGACACAGTAGTTTAGACCTAATCCCCTCCTCACTAGAGATGGCCATCCCACACTGGGCCCAGACAATGCAACTGCATAGGTGACACCAAATAACAAACAGAAAAAAACAAGAATGATCTGCCCCCTCTTGTGGTGCTTCATGCATATCACAAAGTAAACATGAACGGTTTTATTTTCATTGTAGAAATTTAATCTTTAAAATAATATAATTTAGATAAGTTTCAGGTTCAGAGTTAATCCCTTATTGTGATCATAACAGGAGTTAATTGTATTTTATGGCTCTCATGTTAGTGGAGTTTCACTGTATTTTGAGATACTGTTGACATATCTTACAATCCTCAATGAACCCTTCTACCAACTAGGTTCTTCCATGGATGATTTGAGGTTTTCACAATAGTGAATATTCTGGGTTGTTGCGCTGTGTAGTATGGTATCTACCAATGGTATGGTTTACCAATGTTTCGGAGGTCATACTGCCTCCATCATCAGGGTGATAAATGTGCCAAATGGGTGGAGGAGGCCAGGTTTATAGGAACAGGACAGTGAATGGAGTGGCCCGTCCCTAGGCACTGGGAGCAGGTGTCAAATCAGGCGCACAAATTTTGGTTTAAGTTTCATTCTCCTACTAGTATATAATACCAAAATCTCAAACCTCATAAAATTGTGGACCAAGAATAACCAACCATGCCCTTCAGACAAAAATGCCACCTTCAGGATCTATTTCATTAAGTGTGGTCTGAGAATCATTTAGTTCTCCTTCTGGTAATTAAGATTTTATTACCCTACTTACAGTATAATGTTACATTTCATTAAATATATCTATTTACTTCATCTTTCGGAGTCTCTGGAGATGATTCCGGAGAGCAATCTGGAAAAACAGATGGAGTTACAGAAATACTTTAACATGATTCATACTGATTTTATATTTTCAATTAATTAAATATTATGTTATGTTAACACCTTTAAATATAAATAATCACTACAGCATGGAGATACTTCTGAAAGCACTGCTCTTGCTTGAATATCACACATACCTTTCCTCAACTTAGGTTTTCAAAATCAGTGTGCATATCAATATCTGATGAGTGATGTCTTGAAAGCTGAATTTTATTTGGCCCAGAATGTAATGTTAAGACTGTAAATGCAAGCCACGTAATGTAATCTCTTTCTTATAACTCCTGGGTCTGATTAAATAACTTTTTATGATGAAGTATATTTGATTTTGAACACCATGTGTGCTTTCAAGAAATATTTATTACAGTTTTATGAAATAACCAAAAGTTACCACAACTGTATTTGATATAATCATGGCATTGCTTCCTCTTACCTGCTTTTCTTTGAAAGATCTCTTCAGTTTCCCTCGTGCTTTATGCTTCAACATCATATAGTTCTTTGTCTTCCTCTTCTCTCGATTAGTTTTGCTTGAATGTGGATTTAGTCGCCGATCTTGAAATCCAAATTTCTCACGGCCCTCCTGACCTCTCTGGAATTAAGACTGACTTTTAAAGATACTTCACCGTAAATAATAAGTTTCTATAGCATTTTACCCAACTGCATACTTAACTTAAAAGAAGACAGTTTTTATATACAAACTGAACTGGATGATGACAAGAAAATGCCATCAGCTTATTATCATTTCTGAATACACAGTACCACTTAACAACTACACACCTTCCATTGAAGATGAAATCATTTTACGTCTGTTTTGAAGAGGACTCAAACAAATAACAAGTCTACTAAGAGATTCATGAGTTCTAAACTGACTGACTGATCTGAGCAAACATATGGACAATTGTATAATGAATTTATTCACCTTTACACACTCCTGCCTCATTTGTTTGTCATGACGACGTTTCTTGTAGATGTTCTCAATATCAGCTAATGATACCATCTCTCCCCTGCAAATGTACAGGAAAAGCATACATTACAGTAATATGGCATGTAACTAGAAAAAACAGCAGTCAGAAACTTTACCACAATTTGTCATTTTAAGCAAAGTGGGTTCAATGGAGTGACCCACACAAGTTTCAAACATGACAGGAAAAAGATTAATTTGGTATTTATGGATTGACTGTATAAAATATGTGAACAGATATAACCAGCAGCTCATCAGTACTACAGGAAAATAATATCATTAGGATTTCATATTGTCTGGGACACTATACTGCCATTATATAACATGAATATAGATGAAAGATGAAAAAGAATCATACAAGAAAGAAACAACCCAATGACAAGCAGCCCCTCATTGTTCTGTCCACCAGAAATTCCACTTGGATAAAATACAATGATATTATGTGTGTTCTTTCATGTACCCAGTACAAAAACACTTGTAGCAAATGGTAATTTTATTCTCCTTAACTGGATATAAAAATGTAAGTCCTTGATCTGATTTTATTTTATTATAATGTGACATTTCTTCATATGACAAATTTTCATTTTATTAAGTTTGATTACAATAAAAAATCATATCAATGAATTTGGTTATCATGTAATTCAATAATAAATTTAGTAGGCATTGCCCTGTTGTTTTGGAACAAAAATCTTATTGGTATTAATTATGACCAGGGAAGGCAAGAAAGAGTATTTGTATTTCAATTACTTTGAGTGTGTTTCTTCTTCTGCTGGTCTCTTCTTGCCTCTTTTTAGAGCAGTAACCTCTTTGCTTAACTTTGCTGCATCTATCTTCCGAAAGTCTTCATCTGTTAGCAACCGCATCTGACTAGCTTGGGCTGCCTGCTGGATCTTGTCCAATGGTTCTCTTTCTTTTGCAGTTGTGGTTCCTTCCATCTATTATGTTTCACAATGGAAGAAAGAACATTTTTTCAGGAACTTGCAGGTACCTCTTATTTTGTTCATGTAGATACTTCTAAGTAGAATTGTGGGAGGAGAGCGTAAAATTACATAAATACAAATTCAATTAAAAGTTTGTGGTTGTTTTAAGTGTCAGTTTAGTTCTGTCAATGAAGACAGAATCTGCTGTTTAGAAAGGAGAAATGACACATTTTAATTCATCTAACTACTTAGATTTCTAAGCCTGCATTTTGCATGTTTCTAGACAGTGTTAAATCTCTTTCTCACTGACACAGGAGTTCCCTATAAGTATATCTACAATTACAGTTTCAAAATAGTTTAAAACTTATATGACATGTTACAAAGTCAATGCTTTCATACCTTACTGTATTTATTTTGTATGTATTAATACAAGGCTTGATCATTCTTGGAACTACTGGATGAATCAGCTCACTGTTCCTGACAAAATGGTCTTCTTAATGGGAAGTGATAAAAAAGGAAAATAGAAGAGGGTTATGGGCCTTTGATAAAGCACTGAAAAACTCTGGCTTAACATACAGAAACCTCAGTCCAAGTTGCTAAATTGCAAGTGCTAGCATAATAATGGCTTTAATGGGGGGAATATATACATTCTACAAGGATGAAAATTCACATAAGATAAATCATTTGTAATGGGTGTTTAAATGAAATTATAATTAAAGTGACCTTTGCTATTTTAGTGAGATTACCCTGTCACCATTTTCTTCTTCATTATCAATAATGATTCCCTCATCATGTTTCTGGTCAGCTTTATTCCTGCCACACATCTTATTTTGAATATCAACTTCCTCTTCAGCATCATCTTCAGAACTGTGTGAGATATCTATCCATTCACCATCACTACTGCAATCATCCTCACCATCCTTCACACAACCAGAAGTGCCCTGCGGAACAACGAGCTCTTTTCGTTACATAACACAAACACATTTTCACACATTAATTCACTGTTTCATAGTTAATCACACAGAAGACCTTCTACTCTCTCCCACTCTTCTGATCCATTCGCTACATTTAACAAATGTCAGTAAAGCACCTGATAATATTACTTGTATGCAAAGTTCTACTTAGAACTTCCTGACCAGCTTATTGACTAACCTCTCAATTACCATGGAGTTAGTCATTAAAATACTTTTTGGAATCTTGGAGCAGATCTTTCCCATCTCCTCACACAGATATTACTTAACTGAAGCATTTTTGTAGTTGTTTGTAAAACATATTTGCTCCAAAGGCTTTGCTGTACATCAAGCCTTACAAGGTATACAAATAAATTAAATGTAACACCTTATTACTGTATGCTCATGTATATGAAATGTAACAGACATGCAAAAAGTTAAATGAAATTCAAAGTATGTTACCAAAGTGAGACATCTGTTTTGTGCAAGTTTTTACCTCTGTGTCATTTTGAAGCAATACTTCTGCCCCAGGAATGTAGTCCCTAGCATCAACTTCTCCATATTTTTTTGATTTCAGCTCTATGGTGGCTTCTGTAGGACGACCCTGTGAGGAAAGAGATAATGAGAAATGCTTACCAGTCATGGACAATCTAATTTCCACATGTGAACCTGAATAAAATATTTTTCATAATGATATAAACCCTGTTTATGTCAGAATTAGTTTTTGGAATTTACTGCCTTACACAAGATTTGGTTAATGTAAGTAGAAAGGATTAATAGTTTCATTATATAACAACAAATTCTGGGCAGAACTCAAAAACGCTAAAGATAATTTAAATTGTGAGTGAAAGGAAGCACCTTTCTGGATGTGCAACCATTCATTCAAAAACTAACATCACCCTGACATCTGTAAAAAATAGAAATTCTGCAAGCAGACTTGCGAAAACTGTGAAATTATGCTATTTAAGGCTACCATTGTCTTTGACATGTATAAATCTGTTTTTCTCCACTTTGTACAAAATTATACTGCAGACAAATAATGAGTGTACAATTTTTTATTTCAATGTATTGTTTCTATTCTGTTGAAATTTGGATGTAAATATGAACAGTTTGTGTGCATCATGGAATGTAAATTAGTTTAACCAACAGAATAATCCAAGTGGACACTTGATTTGTGTGTAATACAATGACAATGGAAATACATAAGCTTAAAAGTGCCGGAGTGTACATCTCAATGAAGTTCACAAGACATACATAACTAAATTGTATTTTTATATGCCTCCAGTAATTTCCAAATATGTTTGGGGGGAGACAAATTATAATAATATGTAGGTAGAGGGGAGCTGACTGTTAAAAAAGATTTCATTAATCAGAGTTAATATAAAACAAGTATCAGATACATTATAAGACCTTGTTCATCAAGTGAAGATTACTTAAGTACATACCCTGTCCTTCTTATGCAAAAGCTCCGGCATTGACGCTCTGTATAAATGGATGAGTGACCGTGCTGCCATCATGACACTACGTTCCTTGTAATTCTTATACTGAACAAGGTCCCTCAGTAGATCCTCATTCATTACCAGTGGACAACGACTGCAAATCTCTCTCACAGCATTTAGCCTGTAAGTACAGAAATTTGATCAAAATATTATACACCATTCAATAGCCACACTTCAAACATACCTCACAATGTCAGAACCCATATGCACAGCATATGGCCTTTTACATGATTTCTGTGACAAGTTTAATCTGCAGGTTATTTGATGAAGCTGCATCAACCACCACAGTTATGAGGTATTAAAGGATCAATTAATGCAATGGATGATCAGTTGTATGGGATTTTTAAGGAAGCAGTCATAGCCTATTTGAAGGCAGTATCCTTCTAGATCATTTCTTACATTTCTTACACTGTGAAGAGAGATCATCTTCTAGTTAGATAAATACAATATTTGTCAGTTGTAATGCTTACCCTATAGCAATGACATCAGCAGAGTTCCTTTCTGTAACAAAGTTGTTTACAAGTGTTTTCAAAACTGGTTCCAGCACCTGCATATAAAACCAAAGCAAAATGTTCTGTACCAAATAATACTTTTGCAAATTCGTACATTCTTCATCTTCCACATCTTCATTCCTCACCCTCCATCTTTCTTTTCTTTATCACTTTCATATTTCTAACCCCTTCCCTATTTTCACCCATATTCTTTATGCAATCCTTTAATGTGTTCACCTTCTTCAACTTTCTTCTGTTATCCCTTTCATACCCTTAGATCCTATTCCTTCTTCCATATTCCTCTCCATCACTTCCACATCTCAGCTTCCTCAGCCCTTTCACACTTCCTTGATACCACATCCCCTTGTTTAGTTCACACATCACATCACATCTCTATTTGGATTTCTTAAAACATTCCATTAAAGGAGAACAATAAAAAATCAGCCATGCTATATATTACAAAATTTCCATGTGATCCATGTCTAAATATATCTTTTACGAGTGCAAACAAATATATCCAAAAAACATTAAACTGTGTTTTATATAATACACACGGAGGCAAAGAAACAAACAAAAGAAAACCCGAGAACCTGAGCATTAGTAACAGCAAACAAACAATAATGACTTACTATCTTTGTTAAGGTAATTTAATCTTATAGAAACCAGCCACAGGATTTGGCCAAATTAAACAAAACTTGAAACTTACATCTGGTGGCACCAATTCATGAGATGCTTGGGCTGCAAACTGCAGAATTTTGGTTACCTCTGAAACATTACATATTCACTACATGAGTTATAATACTGCAAATACAGCACTGCACTAACAGGAAAGATGACAGAAAACACGTAACAAGAAAAATTCAACATTTCATTGAAATCATAAACATACTTGTTGTTTTGGAACTATGACGGCTTCTGCCTACAGGTGTGATGTTTACCTTCCTAGCCTGTGTCTATCACTGGCTAAGGTGAAGGCAGAAATCCACATTTTCATTTGAAAATACAATGGTCAGGGCTATTCCACTAGCCTCTGATGACAATAAAGATGACAGCCCTATTTAAACCAATCAATGATGTAATAATATTACATAAACAAACAGGTTTCAGACTTGGATAATAATGTATTTATCTATTTATTTATCTGTTGTTTACTTAATGATACTGTCAGTAGCTCAGGCAACACAGTACCAAAATATTCAATGATTAATGAATAATAAAGTTTGAAAAGGATAAGGAAGGAAGTGGGTGTAGCCTACTTATGGTACTATCCTTACATTTGCCTGGATGGACTGAGGAAATTCACAAAAAGCCTAGCCAAGATAAGATATCCAAGCTGATTTGAACGTGGACCTCCTGAATATGAAGCACAAGTGTTAACTACTCAGTAGTCACATTAAATTTCCTTTGAAAGGAAAGCAGACTAAAAATGGAAGGTGTGTTTTTTAATCCGTCATACCAGAATTCTGCACAAATTGGATGAACACTATTCACACTAAAACTTTCAACTATACTGATGTAAAATACTAACAAAGGGAACATCAGGTCTGGCAATACGCTACCAATATGTTATAAACTTGCTCCACTCACCTCTCTGATGTGGCTGCATGAACCGCTGGATGTATGGGTAGTAGTTGAGTAGGAACAACTGGTGCAGGCCAATAAGTCGTGACACAACATCCAATACCATAATTTTCACCTCAAACCTCTCATTTGTCTTCTCCAGCTGCTGGAACAATTTCTCTGCTAAACCTGAAATAACCCCATTTTACTGCCTCCTTCCTGGCCTCTGCCTACCTGATGTAATATTTCCCACATTTTTAAAAGATCAGGATTTGAGAAGGCATATAAATATTCTGAAATGGACTGTCTTGAATTGGAGATCTATGAAAGTCAGTGCCAGGTCACCATGGTCAGCATATAAAAAAGTGTTTATCAATGAAATAATAATTATTTATCTAAGTAACATTTAACACTGCCCACAGATGTGCAAACAAAATGCATAATTTCTTATATCCTGACTTTCAGGTGTTATCAATACACACAGAAAATGTATTTAGGCTTTCATAAAGTAGTATTAAAATATATTAAAATTGTCCGTCAATCACAATAAAGTAATATAAGATAATTAAATATGTAAATCGGGTACTCGATACGGAACAAAGGATAATATTTTAACCATTTAATTATCTTATATTACTTTATTGTGATTGACGGACAATTTTAATATATTTTAATA